TGACCGAAGTGTTTTCGTCCTTATTTTGGACGTTCTTTCGATTGCCGCTTACCGCGTGTCGCTACGTGGCCCAGGAGCCGAGTTAGAAGCGGGGGGGTGTTCAGACACCCCCCGGCCCGGCGCGGAATCTCAGAGCACCGGCCCGGCGCGGGTTAACCCGTGCCCCGCTGGGGGGGGGGGGGGGCAGAATCTGCCCCCTCCCGTTTTTCGCCAATAACTTCTAAACGCGTTACGCCAGCGACGTCAAACTTTCAGTACCTTATCATACATCAATGTGACACGTTCCCTAAAAATTTGAGCGAAATCCGTCGAAATATTGTTGAGAAATTGACGTTTTTGTGACGTCATGTTCGCCATTTTCGCCTAAAAAACGGCAAAATTTCAAACGCTGCTAACATCTTCATTTTTAAAGGAATCAAGACGTAACAAAAAATGTTATACGTGATTCTACTTTGTCTATCAAATGGCTATCTCGGTTTTTTGAAAATTGTGGATTTTGGCCCATTTTTTTTTTTAAACTGACTTTTTTGGGAAAATATTATAAAATCCAAAATTTTGAGTGTATCGAAAAAAACGGAATATATATCAGAGAAGTACTCTATGTGCTCCTATATACCAATTTTTAGAAGAATCGGTTAAAAAATGTGGGAGTTATTCAAAATTTTATGACGTCACGACACACAAAAATTTTGAAAAATGATTTTGTTGGAAGTTCTAGACCTTGTACGGAAACAAAAATAGCACCATTCGATTCGTCGTGAAAAACTGCATCAGATAGACACCTTTTTAGGCTTTAACAACCATTTTCAAAATTTGACCTCACTTGACCTGACCTTGACCTGACCTCGACCTGAAATTCATCCAGAGGTGGTCCATATCACTTATTGAGTGTGCCTATTGAATTCTATGAGTAAAATGACCCATAAAACATGCGTCGCACATGCCCTTTCTATATTTTGTTTTTGGTGACCTGACCTAACCTGACCTGACCTTGACCTTGACCTTTGAATGACATTGTATGCAACGAATATTGTCTTGGTAGTCTAAGAACACGTTTTGGGCAATCAGTCTCAGTCCATTCTCCGGCAACTACGGTGCAAGGCCGATACTGTAGAAACTTACATTTTGTACCATTGACCTGACCTTGACCTGACCTCTGATCTACTTAAGCAAAAAAATTGGGCTCTTTAGATCCGCCTTGTTGAGAGCTTTCGATTGCCGTTTTCCCCGTCTTTCTACGACCATCGGTTCGGAAGTTAGACAGGGGGGGCAGAATCTGCCCCCCCCCCCCCCCAGCAGGGCGCGTATGGCTGAATAGCCCAGCGGGGCGCGGGTTAACCCGCGCCCTGCTGGGGGTCCTGGATTTCCACGCCCTGCTGGGGGGGGGGGGTGTTTGAACACCCCCCCTTCTAACTCGGCTCCTGGGCCACGTAGCGATACGCGGAAGGCGGCGTTCGAAAGAGCGTCAAAAATAATGAGGAAATCACTTCGGTCAATTTTTTGGTCAGGTCAAAGGTCAGGTCACCAGAGGTCATTGAAGGCAAAATTTCGCCGATTTCCAGGTCGAATGTCGACAATTTCCAAGAAGCCAACGCATAACTCGGGAACCAATAGAGCTACAGCGCCGCGGAAAAGCGCATTCGATAGCTCTATTAACGCCCTTTCTGAGTAATTCTCTCAGATTTGACCTAACCTCAACGGTTTTGCCTGCAGGGGGCAAAAACTGCAAAAATAGGCGATTTTTTCGGAAACAGTTTTTCTGCAATAACTTTTGACCCAAGCCTTGTACGAGCTTACTTTTACCGGCATCGTGTTCCTCTTGTCAAGACGCATCGAATGAACTATAACTTGACCTTGAAAGGTCAACTTGAAAATTTGACCTCAGGTCAAGGTCATGACCTGACCGGAAAGGGTCATGTTGCATATCAGTCGATCCGTATCGTCGAGCTGAACACAGCTAAGGCGTTTTCATCGCTCGAGCATGCCTCTATCAAAAGTTATTTGCGAAAAACTGTTAGATACCATTCGTGACCTAAGATGACCTCAGGGCATAAACAGGGGTCACGGACACCATTTTCATGTTCAGTGTGTCTAAGCCACTTGTAATTCAGTGTTTGGGAGTGTTTATAATGTCTTTCGTCCAAAAGAGGCGCATTTCAATTTTCTCCCATTGACTTATAATGGGGAGGTCGCAAAATTGACCTGACCTTAGGTCATCGATATCAAAATTCTGAGATATACATTTTGTACATACTATTGCTCTTAGCAATCGCTGAAAGTTTCAAAGCGATCGGTCACTCGGTGTAGCTATGACAGACATTGAAACTTTTTATGAGGTGAGGTCACTTCAAGTGACTTGGTGACCTGACCTTGAATGACCTTGGTCTGAAATTTTCACAACATGTGTAGAATTGATGTATGATAAGGTGTACCAAAAACGGAGGCGCTCCGCGCCGCCGTTTTTGAGATATTCGCGAAAAACCACAAGGGGGGGTGTTCAAACACCCCCCCCCCCCAGCAGGGCGCGGGTTAACCCGCGCCCTGCTGGGGGTCCTGGATTTCCACGCCCTGCTGGGAGGGGGTGTTTGAACACCCCCCCTTCTAACTCGGCTCCTGGGCCACGTAGCGATACGCGGAAGGTGGCGTTCGAAAGAGCATCAAAAATAATGAGGAAATCACTTCGGTCAATTTTTTGGTCAGGTCAAAGGTCAGGTCACCAGAGGTCATTGAAGGCAAAATTTCGCCGATTTCCAGGTCGAATGTCGACAATTTCCAAGAAGCCAACGCATAACTCGGGAACCAATAGAGCTACAGCGCCGCGGAAAAGCGCATTCGATAGCCCTATTAACGCCCTTTCTGAGTAATTCTCTCAGATTTGACCTAACGTCAACGGTTTTGCCTGCAGGGGGCAAAAACTGCAAAAATAGCCGATTTTTTCGGAAACAGTTTTTCTGCAATAACTTTTGACCCAAGCCTTGTACGAGCTTACTTTTACCGGCATCGTGTTCCTCTCGTCAAGACGCATCGAATGAACTATAACTTGACCTTGAAAGGTCAAGTTGAAAATTTGACCTCAGGTCAAGGTCATGACCTGACCGGAAAGGGTCATGTTGCATATCAGTCGATCCGTATCGTCGAGCTGAACACATCTAAGGCGTTTTCATCGCTCTAGCATGCCTCTATCAAAAGTTATTTGCGAAAAACTGTTAGATACCATTCGTGACCTAAGATGACCTCAGGGCATAAACAGGGGGTCACGGACACTATTTTCATGTTCAGTGTGTCTAAACCACTTGTAATTCAGTGTTTGGGAGTGTTTATAATGTCTTTCGTCCAAAAGAGGCGCATTTCAATTTTCTCCCATTGACTTATAATGGGGAGGTCGCAAAATTGACCTGACCTTAGGTCATCGATATCAAAATTCTGAGATAAACATTTTGTACATGCTATTACTCTTAGCAATCGCTGAAAGTTTCAAAGCGATCGGTCACTCGGTGTAGCTATGACAGACATTGAAACTTTTTATGAGGTGAGGTCACTTCAAGTGACCTGGTGACCTGACCTTGAATGACCTTGGTCTGAAATTTTCACAACATGTGTAGAATTGATGTATGATAAGGTGTACCAAAAACGGCGGCGCTCCGCGCCGCCGTTTTTGAGATATTTGCGAAAAACCACAAGGGGGGTGTTCAAACACCCCCCCCCAGCAGGGCGCGGGTTAATAGTCATACCCCTGAGTTCGTGCCCTCCAGTTAGCCGTTTTACCTTGCTCTGCAGGGACGCGCTATAGGTCAGAAAACTGCCGGATCAACTGATACAACGGTTCCAGATAATCACATTGATGCTGTCCTTCGGTGGAGAGGTTTACCTTTATGACGTCATGTCGGCGACCTGACTTGATCTTAAAGTGCGGCTGGATGGTGTTTGAAGATTTGGTTTTGATCGAAGATCAGGCGGTATCCCAAATGTTGGGCTGGTCTTGGACTGTATTGTGAGCACATTCCGAGCTATAGCAATAGGGTAGTGGTGTCAATCGGAACTTGAATCTTCGGAATTCCGATTTTGTCCAATGTCCAATTCGGAATTCGGTTGGACAATGACCGCAGGCTTTGGACAACTTTGGACAATCGCTTGCTACACCTCAACATTTTTAAAGAGTAGTCGTGTTTAACATTGATTGGCTATTAGAAAGCTCAGCATTCGATATGATTAACACTTTTGAGCTTATAACGGTACATGAAAAGCAAATTAGATAACAGTGTTGAGTGTAAACTATTGCGTAGGTGTCGGACATCTTTGGACAAATGGCTGGCTTGGACATTTTTGGACGGACAATCGACGTAAGCATTGGACATTGGACGGACTTTGGACATACGTTTTCTGAAATTGACACCACTACAATAGGGCGTCCAGGAGTGACTGCCATCCTCGGCCGGGGAGCGGTAAAAGTAAAACTTAGAGTTAGTTTTGATCTCTCACTGCCAAACTACGGTGGCAGAGAACGTGTCTCTTCTGTCCTTATTTATCCATTTACATATCAACATTCCCTTAGGTCGCAGCAAAAGCCATCGGTTACGCCCAGAGCCTCCATTCGCCTGTCGCTAATAGAGCCATGAGCCACTGAAGGCGGAACGCCAGGGGTCGGGTGCACTCCCAGGGTACGTTATTTATGATGCGAAACATCGTAACTGTAAATTATACAGGATAATTTATGAAATTAATAGACACATGGGTATGATTAAACTGGTTGCATATTATGTCCGATATACGTCTAACTTCTAAGGCAGGGAGACGGTACCGCCCGTAGACACACCGCTCCATAGAGCACATCGGCACTTCCTCTCCTCCTCTCCGCCACAGCCACGTGCTCCCCGATTGGGACCCGGTTACCTGCCAAAGTGGGTTCGCCACAGTAACAGACGTTCATGACAGACGGTGGACGCCATCTGTCCTGGGCTCTGCGCCCGGCCGGTAGTATCAATTCTATCTGCTGCCGCCAGGTGTCAGCACTGCGCCGCGAGCTGCTGCTGGGTGTGCCCGCCGGAGTTTCGTCGGGCGGCCGGCGGCGGCGCCACGGTCGCCGGTCGGCGGGCGCCCGGTTTCGGCAGCGCGTGCTGGCGGACGTGCTGGAGGTGCTGTACGACAAACAGCTGCGCCTGGACGAGCGCCAGGTGGCGGACCAGAGGAACCGCAGCGAGCTGGCCGCCGGCCTGGCCGAACAGCGCCGCCGACTGGAGCGGCTCGAGCGCCGGGTGGAGGGCGCAGAGAGCGAGGGCCGCCTCCTCAGCTGGCGGCTCAACGCCACTGACGGGTGAGTGCCGACACAGGGACGGATGGAGGGTGGAGGGCGGAGCGGGGGAGGGACGGATATGATAGAGGCAGACTTAGTGCTGTGGCCATGGACCGGGATGGGTACCGTCTCTGTGAGGTGATTTCCGCCGTCAGCTCACACCCCGGCGTCTCGGCAGGACGGGCGCGGCGCGCGCGCTGAAGCAGTCCACCTCGGTGCTGATCCGGGAGGTGGAGCAGCTGGAGACCAAGCTGGACGCCAGGACGGCCGCACTGCAGGCTGAGCTGGCGCGGCTGGACGTGGGCTGCGGTCAGCTGACGACGGCCGTGGACGAGCTGCGCCAGCGCCAGGCCGGCCTGCCCGAGCGCGCAGACAGGGTGCGTACCAGCCGCGGGGGTTCGGGGGACTGGCGGGGGTCAGACGGACCACAGGGGTTCAGCGCGGGTCCGGTGGGAACTGGAGGTGGTTGGAGGGTGGAGCCGGCAGCCCTCGCAGTAAGGTGGATCAATGGCCGTCCTCTTATCGTTTGTCTCCGGCCCAGCAAGGACACATTGTGGTGGCTTTTGTATCTGACTCAGCGAAGTGGCGGCCCTACCACACTGTGTGAGCCACTGTGTTTGTGTTTTTCAGCTGAGCCAGCAGCTGGCGGCCGTCTCCCGGGAGCACCAGGTGACGCGCAGTCAGCTGATGGTGCTCCAGGCCGACCTGCTGACCCTCAGCCTGGACGGGAGTGGCCACACGGACCCTGCCGACCTGACCCTCAGCCCGGACCGGACGGACCCCACGGACCCTGCCGGCGGCGCGGGCACCTGAGCGGCCGCCGGTCCCCGCTCGCCGCAGCTGAGCTGACACGCAGCAGTGCCAACAGTACAAGGCCGGCCCGCCGGGCAGCTAGTCACCGTACGTCACCGCCGAGCGGGCGGGCGGGCGGCGCGGGACGGCCGGCGGCGGAGAACCGGGGCCGGTCAGCGTCACTATAGGAGTCACACTGCCCAGTGTCACACCGCCTGGGGACACGCCACGGGCAGTGTCACACCGCCTGGGGGTCCCGGAGTGTCACATACTGGGGACGTGTCTCGGACAGTGTCACACAGTCACACAGCCTGGGGGCGTGTCCGGGACAGTGTCCCACCGCCTGGGGACGTGTCCCGGACAGTGTCACACCGCCTGGGACGTGTCCCGGACAGTGTCACAGAGACTGGGGACGACGTGTCCCGGACAGTGTCACACCGCCTGGGGGTCCCGGACAGTGTCACACAGACTGGGGACGTGTCCGGGACAGTGTCACACCGGACGATGAGGGTACCATCGCACGCTCATGTGGCAAGTTATAGGAGAGTCAAAAAGTTCATCGTAGTGTCGTGAGTCGTAAAACAGCTGAGGATACAATAGCAGCTCAGCCAAGTAGGTCCGATATATTTAGATGCTAGTTAGTGATAGTATTCCGATCGTGTGCTGTCGCGCGCGTCTACCCGTACAAGACACAGGTTAGAACCTGTTTAGAGCTTTTAACAGTGGAATAGCGCTAAGGATGCCGGTGAATCCGTTTTGACACCGACGTAGCGTCAGCGTGGAAGTAGCATGGATGATGCCGCGTTATCTCGTGAATACAGATTATCCTCTTTCTGTAACGTTGAATGTGAGCACGGAGGTGGCCAATGTGTGCAGATCGCCCCTGAAGCAGGGCATTTGTGAGCGGTTTCGGCGCTGTCCCATACCCGGGGGGGGGGGGGGGGGACCACCACCACTGACGGCGGGCGGCGGACCGGGCCGTCCCTGGGTAACCGGACCGGTCTGCCACTGCCGATGTGACGGACCGGGCCGTCCCTGGGTAGCCGGCCCGGTCTGCCCCCGCCGACCCCCCTGCAGGAGGAAGGGGTGGCGGACCGGGCCGTCCCCCCACCGTCCCGCTCCTGAGCAGCCCGACCCCGCCCCGTGCGCCCGGCTCACACTGCCCACAGGCGCGGCTGGGAAGGTCCTCGCGTCTGTATTGAGTTATGGTGATGGCGGTAAAACAGTGGTCCCGTCGGGCGCCGCTCTGCTCACCGCGACTGTTCATGAATATCACGTAACCACGCGCCGGCAGCATCCACACACACACGTACAAACACACACAGAGGCATACACACCAGCGACCGCCGCACGGACCACCCGCCCACACACCGTCTTGGTCACACTCCGAACAGCGGCTGTTACCGTCTGGTCACAGACCCGACCCCCGGTCACAGGTCACGGACCCGACCCCGGTCACAGGTCACAGATCGGACCCAGGACACAGGTCACACACCGGACCCCGGTCACAGCCTGAAGGCGGACCCGGTCGGAAGACAAACATACAAACACGCCCCAGCGGCCGAGCGCCCGCCGAGGCCGGCCGACAACAAACAGACACAACTCCCCGGCGTCACAGGGCGACCTTAAAGCTAAGCGCGGCAACGCACGGCGTCACGCAACATAAAACGGCAACGAGCGCCGCCCAGTCGACAGGGTATAAACTCGGTCCGCCGAGCTGGCTGGTTAAACAATTCAGTATACTTGTCATTGTCATGTGTGGGTACAGTGTCGTACTCGGTACAAACGTCCTCTCCGCACGCTGTGTCATGGACTGCCAGGGTCCCGGGACACTGCCGCGGGCCGGCCGCCGCCCCGCGCGGACGGTGGCCGGCCGACTCTGCCGGCAGCCGTGGTGACCGGCAGCGGCCCCTGACCTGACCTGACCGGCCTATCACAGCCGGCGGCCGCAGCGCTCTGATATGATCGCGGCGGCGCGCCGGGCGGCCGCCCAGGCACGCTGCGCGCTGACCCGACCTCAGCAGGCCGTGACTCGGTGTGCGCCGAGCCGCGCTGCTCCGCCCTCAGCAGGCCGGGTGCAGCAGCACCTGCAGGTAGGCCGTCGGCACGAAGCCCTCCTCGAGGCTGTCGTGACGCCGGACGCGCGTCCAGCCGTCGCCCTGGTCCAGCTCAATGACCAGCAGCTGCTCGCCCTCCTGCATCGGGATCGAGCCCTCGCTGGCCGCTGCATGTACGGACAGACAGGGGGTCAGTCAGCGACCCGGGGACTGTCAGAGGACGGGGACGGATCGAGCCCTCGCTGGCCGCTGTATGTACGGACAGGGGGTCAGTTAGCGACCCGGGGGCTGTCAGAGGCGGGGGGATGGACCCCTCGCTGGCCGCTGCATGTACGGACAGACAGGGGGTCAGTCAGCGACCCGGGGGCTGTCAGAAGCGGGGGCGGGGGACATATCGAACCCTCGCTGGCCGCTGCATGTACGGACAGACAGGGGGTCAGTCAGCGACCCGGGGGCTGTCAGAGGTGTGGGGGGGGGGGGACCCCTCGCTGGCCGCTGTACGAACAGACAGGGGGTCAGTCAGGGACCCGTGGGCTGTCAGAGGCGGGGGGGGGGGGGGGGGTTGACCCCTCGCTGGCCGCTGTATGTACGGACAGACAGGGGGTCAGTCAGCGACCCGGGGGCTGTCAGAGGCGGGGGACGGATCGAGCCCTCGCTGGCCGCTGTATGTACGGACAGGGGGTCAGTTAGCGACCCGGGGGCTGTCAGAGGCGGGGGGATGGACCCCTCGCTGGCCGCTGCATGTACGGACAGACAGGGGGTCAGTCAGCGACCCGGGGGCTGTCAGAAGCGGGGGCGGGGGACATATCGAACCCTCGCTGGCCGCTGCATGTACGGACAGACAGGGGGTCAGTCAGCGACCCGGGGGCTGTCAGAGGTGTGGGGGGGGGGGGACCCCTCGCTGGCCGCTGTACGAACAGACAGGGGGTCAGTCAGGGACCCGTGGGCTGTCAGAGGCGGGGGGGGGGGGTTGACCCCTCGCTGGCCGCTGTATGTACGGACAGACAGGGGGTCAGTCAGCGACCCGGGGGCTGTCAGAGGCGGGGGAGGGACGGATGGACCCCTCGCTGGCCGCTGCATGTACGGACAGACAGGGGGTCAGTTAGGAACCCGGGGGGCTGTCAGAAGCGGGGGGCGGGGGCGGATCGAGCCCTCGCTGGCCGCTGCATGTACGGACAGACAGGGGGTCAGTCAGCGACCCGGGGACTGTCAGAGGCGGGGGCGGGGAGGGAGGGGGGACGGATCGAGCCCTCGCTGGCCGCTGTACGGACAGTCAGGGACCGGCGGGGGGGGGGTGTCAGAAGCGGGGGGGGGGGGGAACGATCGAGCCCTCGCTGGCCGCTGTATGTACGGACAGACAGGGGGTCAGTCAGCGACCGGCGGGGGGCTGTGAGAAGCGGGGGGAGGGAGGATTGACCACTCGCTGGCCGCTGTATGTACGGACAGACAGGGTCAGTGTAATCATGGGACAGGGGTCACAGTGACGGGGATAGAGGTTACCGACGGAATGCAGTGTCGTTAGCCAAATCATAAGAAACACTCCTATTTACGGCTATACATAATACAGAACTACGATGCTCGCCTAGGCGCATCGCTTGCATTTTGAATCAGCGCTCATTCATTTTTCATTCTTGTCTGACAGCTGAGGCAATATGAACAAGATGTTCTTTTGCTACAAACTTCGAGCGTGCGCCGGATCATGTTCCTTTACAACAGAGCTACAATTCACTGCTGATGGCCTGTTGGGGTCCGCCACCCAGCCGCAGCCCCGCAGCGCAGTAAATCATGGCCTGCTAATCAGAGTGGCCGTTCCGATTCAACTTTTGTCGGGCGGCCGCTGGCTGTCAAATTAGGCTGGCGAGTTTCGGCGACGGGCCGCGCCCATATATCACGTCTGGGCCGCGGCGGAGCACGGTAAAAACGACGGCGCCCGGATCGGTACGACGGCCACCATCAATAACCCCGTCAGCAGTCCGTGGGGCGGACAGCGGCGGACTGCGGACGGCGGCGGACTGACGGAGTGACGACTGTGGGCCGCCACTCGGGCCACTCACAGCCGGACAGCCGGTACCGGCCCATCGGGGCCCACCACACCTATGTCTAAGCGGCGCTGCGCCGGAAGAGGCACCCTCTAACCCAGATGGCCAGTACAGACAGTGTGCAGTGGGCGTCCCCGGCAGCGCGGGGGGCTAGCGAAAACGGCATAGTTACTGTTTACTGAGGCAGGCGACAGCATGCTCTTAGAACACTGTTAAATACAACAATAGGGATCGTTCATATCACGGCTATGGTCTAAACGAGTAACACTGAGCCAAATACGTGCTACGGCAATACATCGATAAAACGAAGTGCATACTACATCGTGGCTATTATATTTGGCCGTATGCGCCGATGGGTGAGAAGTTAGGGTGCACACACAAACACCAACCAGTGAGGCAAACACCCGCGGCGCGGGGTAGTGCGAGTGGAGCTGATGCACAGTGATGCAAATGGGGTTCACGAGTGGCCATAAATACCCAAAAGTCAAGTTAACCAAATCGAGTTAATTGCGATATGACCGAGTAGACAAATGTTTGGGGCATCTGAAATCACATGGTTTTCATGTTTTTGTCAAAACCGGCCTCGTGTATAATCGTCAGAAGTCGTGACATTTTCTAGGTCGCAAAATGACGGTCAGACACTCGCAAGTTCAAACGCCGCTGGTTTGCGTTCATTTCGTACAAATTGAAAAAATTATGCATGGGAATGATCCCCAAAGCCTTGTGCTTTTAATGCCGGGTCACAAAAAGCCGCTTCTCATTCGCTTTGGCGGTAATCTGACTATTTATCATCATGTTGCAATCGCAGTTTTTTACAAAGAAAAAAAAAATGCTTTCGTTTCACCTACAGCACTTAACACAGTGTGTGCCCGTTAGTCCACCATACCATAGCCTTCCATAATCATTTCTGAGTCGCATCGTGAAAGAATTAAGGCGCTAGCACAGGGCTGACCGGCGCTACCGAGGTTTTTGTCCGGGCGGTCGGGTGCCGCAGTGGGCGCTAGTGGTGTCAATCTGAACTTGAATCTTCGGAATTCCGATTTTGTCCAATGTCCAATTCGGAATTCGGTTGGACAATGGCCGCAGGCTTTGGGCAACTTTGGACAATCGCTTGCTACACCTCAACATTTTTAAAAAGTAGTCGTGTTTAACATTGATTGGCTATTAGAAAGCTCAGCTTTCGATATGATTAACACTTTTGAGCTTGCAGCGGTACATGAAAAGCAAATGAAATAACAGTGTTGAGTGTAAATTATTGCGTAGGTGTCGGACATCTTTGGACAAATGGCTGGCTAGGACATTTTTGGACGGACAATCGACGTAAGCATTGGACATTGGACGGACTTTGGACATACGTTTTCTGAAATTGACACCACTAGTGGGCGCGCAGTGGGCGGGTGGGTGCCGCCGCGCGGCGTCCGGGCGGCGCGGCGGCGCGGCCGCCCGGGCCGCCCGCTGCGCCGCGGCACCCGACCGCGCCGGACGAAAACTTCTGTAGCGCCGGTCAGCCCTGTGCTAGCGCCTTAATTCTTTCACTATGCGACTCAGAAATGAGAAGGGAATGCTATGATATGGTGCACTAACTGGCACACACTGTGTGAACTGCTCTAGGTGAATTCAAAGCAAATATTTTTGGCAAAAAACTGCGGTTGCAACATGATTACAAATAGTTAGCTCACCGCCAAACCAAAGTAGATACGGCTTTTTATGACCTGTCATTAGAAGCAGCAGGTTTCGGGGATCATTTTCATGTATAATTTTTGCAGTTTGTATGACATGAACGCACGCTAGCGGCACTTGAATTTCAAGTACCTGACAGTCATTTTACGACATCGAAAATGTCTCGAATTCTGACAATCATACACGAGTCCGGTTTTGACAAAAACATTAAAATCATACTTTTTCAGACGCCCCAAACATTTGCCTAACTGACCATATTACGATTTATTCGATTAAGTGAACTTGAATTTTGGGCCTTTTTCGTATTTATGGCCACTCGTGAACCCCATTTGCATCACTGTGTGATGGCCGGTAGTACCGACGGCCCTCGACACCGCGCAGCCAAACACCAAACGCGGGCGGCGGCGGCGCCGGGGAGGACGGGGGAAGAAGGGGAGGCGCCGGCCGCTGCTCCGGCGCCGTGGGACGGGGAGGGGCCGTGCTGGCTGCGCCGGGGAGCTCTGGACACACACGGACACGGACGGACGGACGGACGGACGGGCACACGGCACAGCTCAGTGACCTGGGAAGTGGTACAGGCCGCGGCCGGAGCCGATCGGCGGCAGCGGCAGGCACACGATGTCCTCGTCCGAGGCGCACAGGTCGGCCAACACGTCTGTCGGACGGACGACCGGTCACTGCTCTGCCTCCGATACACAGACCGACCGACAGTACACACCGACACTGACCCAGACAGCACATACCGGCCGGACTGACAGACAGAAGGTCCCGACACACTGCTCAGTGCTCAGACAGCAGTGTGAGCCGGTAGATGACAACCGGGTGCGGCCGGACCGGAGCGGACAGACAGTGGCCGCCGTGAGCGTGGCGGTCTCCGCAGGTAAGCAGAGAAACGAAAGCAGCCTACTCCCGGGAATCTAGCCGCATCACTACCACCATTCCCCCGACGGCGACCGTAGTTACGACACCGCCACCCTGCCGCTGTGTCCCTAGCGCCCCTCCCTGCCCTCTCCGTGCCACAGAGGGGCCCTCCAGCGCCGCCTGTCTGTCAGAAGGGACGCATCCGCCACTCACCGTCGAAGGCGTAGAGCGCCTTGGCCTGGCCGAGCACAGGCAGCGCCGGCTCGTCGCCGTAGCTGAAGTCGGCCTCGTGTTCGGCCTGCTCGGAGTCGTCGGCACCGGGCGGCGGCGGCGGCGGCGGCGCCGGGCCGTCCGCGTGGTCCTCGTCAGACTCCGAGTCCGGCAGCGAGGTGTGCGAGGTGCCCAGACCCGACTCGGGGCTGTTGGAGCACCTGGTCAGCGCCGCACAGTCAGAGCACAGTAACACATAGCTAGAGCACAGTCAGAGCACAGTCAGAGCACGGTAACACAGACCCGACTCGGGGCTGTTGAAGCACCTGGTCAGCGCCGCACAGTCAGAGCACAGTCAGAACACAGTAACCACAGCAGAACACAGTAACACAGAGTACAGACCCGACTCGGGGCTGTTGGAGCACCTGGTCAGCGCCGCACAGTCAGAGCACAGTAACCACAGCAGAACACAATCAGAGCACAGTCAGCGCAGTCACAGCACGGTCAGAGAACTCAGCAGTCAGCACCACACACTGATCTATGGGTCATGGCTTCCACCCGGGACAGCTGTTGGAGTCACCTCGCCCATAGGGCTAACAACACCTCTGACCTGGCACATCTCCTTACGCGCTAACAGTTAACGTTACCGCACACTCGACCTCGCATGTGAGTGAGTCTGGGGCACTGAGCTTTCTAACCTGCAGCCGTTTCTTTAAGATGAAATGCAAAAACTGTGAAAAAAGTAAAGCTCAGTGCACACGTCGCACATCACACACTATTTACTATCGAGTCTGTGGATCCGCTTGAGAACCCTGACCCTCCGTCCCCACTGCCCAGTACAAACTGACCCGCCCGTTCCCCAGTGGTACTGACCCTGTGCCCCCTGATGTACTAACACTGCGTCCCCAGTGGTACTGACCCGTGGCTGGCCGGCGGCGTGGAGGGCGCCGACTGACCCTGCGCCGCCGCGCCGGATCGCGCCATGGACGAGTCGCTAGCCGAGCGGCTGAGGTTGCTGTCCGGCTCACTGAGACTGGTCCGGCCGCCGCCGTCCAACAACCTGCCAGAGGTCAGGTCAGGTCAGTAGAGGTCAGGACAGGTCTGATCTGAGACTAGTCCGGCCGCCGCCGTCCAGTAGCCTGCCAGAGGTCAGCTCAGGTCAGTAGAGGTCAGTAGAGGTCAGGACAGGTCTGATCTGAGACTGGTCCGGCCGCCGCCGTCCAACAACCTGCCAGAGGTCAGGTCAGGTCAGTAGAGGTCAGCGACAGGTCTGATCTGAGGCTGCCGCCGTCCAGCAACCTGCCAGAGGTCAGGTCAGGTCAGGTCAGGTCAGGTCAGGACTCAGGTCAGTAGAGGTCAGGTCAGAGCTGATTTGAGACTGGTCCGGCCGCCGCCGTCCAGCAGCCTGCCAGAGTTCAGCAAAGGTCGCTTCAGGCCCGATCCAGGTCAGCTGATGCCGTATTAGTTCGGCCACTCCCCTCGCCCGCCCCGGCCCACCGCCGCCGCCGGGTCCGCTCCCGCACTGACCTCTGGAACTTGTGCAGCTCGAGTCGCAGCCGCTCGAGGTTCTGGGTGTTCTCTCTCAGCTGGGACTCGATCGTCAGCGGGTCGCCCAGCGCCGGGTTACTCTCGTACACGCCCTTCATCTTCATCAGACCGTCCCTGCGGGGCAGAGAGCCGTGGAAGGTCATACACCATCTGTGGACAGTCCCTCGGCACCGCTCCGATAGCCTCCTCCGATAGCAGTTCACAGCTGACCAGCGTTCGGTCCACCGGCACCACTGACTATCTGATGGACCGACTGTCGGCCGCTAGACCGGCCGGTCTGGCGTGCGCGCCCACGGTCTGTCAACTGCCCACAGTCCGTCCACAGGCGGCCCACGGCCCGACCACCGCCCACAGTCCGTCCACCGAACACAGCTCATACCTAGACCGGTCAAAGTCCGGTCAGGGTTTACAGTCCATCCACCGCCCAAAGTCTAACCACAGACCACAGTCCAGCCAACCACCGTCCACCGCCCGCCCAACCACCGTCCACCGCCCACAGTCCGGTTAGGGATCACAGCCAGCTCACAGTCCGTCCAGCGCCCGTCCGCCCCGCCCACCTGGTGGACGTCTCCTGGCTGATCTTGGCCGCCAGGTCGTCCATCCGGTTCTGTATCCGCTTCCGGCGCTGGTTGGGCGGCAGGCTGTCCAGGTCCTCCTTCACGAACGATTCGAATGACGCGTTGGCCATGTTGTTCTGCGGGTAAGGGCAGCAGTCAGCGCCCAGCCGGGGAACAGCAGCGGTCAGTGCCCAGCCGGCGGGCGTGCGATCAGGGGAAGGGCAGGATGAACCCGACACCAATAACCAATAAATGTATCATTTACCAATAAATCTATTCAGTACCGTATCGAAATTCGACAGTCATTGAGCAAGTCCGTATCTCCCGGCCCGCTAGAGGATGCGTTGGGCCAGGGTGGCGCCATCCTTCCCAACACCACCCGACCTCCCATCCGGGGTGGGGAGACGGTACACCAGAGCCAGACCTCCCGCTCACGGTGGAAAGACGGTACACCAGACCTGACCTTTACCCAGGGCGGGGAGACGGTATGCCAGACCACAGACCTGTGAACGGCAGCGCCATACAAACGGCAGAGAAAAGCGAAAGCAGCGCAGCAGACACCAACAGAACGGGGCGCACCTGAGCTCGTAAGGTAACACACGTTGGTGGTATTTGTAAGCGAAAACGCACAAAGCAGGCACCCCCTGTACGCAGCACGCCAGCTGATGGTCTGGTGGGCGGTCACCTGACCACATGTAGACACGAATACGTAAGACAGGCTACACAGAACTGCGCTAAAGGCTGAACCAAGCGTCCCCTCCCCTCAGCCGGCCGCTCACCTCATCAGGGTCCCCCCCACCCCTCCACACACTGCCACAGCGTGCCACGAGCAGCAGGAGCGTCACAGACGCCAGCACGCGGCCGCAGCTGGGAAAGCGCAGCCAGAGGCGGCGTCTGTGACCTGGCGCGGTGCCGCCTCCTGGGCCGGGGAAGCCCACCAGCCCACCAGCTCACCAGCCTCCCACACAGAAATCCCGGCAATACCGAGACCGAGCAGCCACCCACCACCACCCAGCAGAGCGCGGCGCCAGAGCAGACCCATCCCTGACCGCCGACAGCCGCGGGGAGGGCGCACAGGTGACTGAAGCGCCGATAGTTCCGTGAATACAGCAGAGAGCCAGCAACGAATAGCACCGGCAGTACCGCGACAGTCCCGTGAGCAGCGCGCACGGCGGAGCCAGCAACGAACAGCACCAGCATCACCAGCATCACCAGCATCACCAGGAACAACACGAACCACCACCGGCACTAGCACCAGCAGCACTGGCCGCAGAGCCATCAGCAGCGGCACTAACGGCACCAGCAACAGCGGGGGTAGCACCAGCGGCAGCCGCAGAGGCAGCAGCAGCAGCAGCCGCAGAGGCAGCAGCAGCAGGAGGAACAGCGGCGGCGGCAGCGGCGGCGGCGGTAGCGAAGGAGAATATCTCACGGACTGGGACAGACCACCGCGCCGTGGTGTCCGCTGTGTCTCAGGGTCCGTACTCACCGCAGCGGTCAGAGGCGGCCGGAAACACGACCAGCAGAGAGCGGCCAGACGGAGACGGAGACGGAGACGAGCGGCGGGCAGACGTAATGTTAGTACCGGCACCTGACACCAGGGGCGGCCAGGAGGGACGGGAGGGACGGGGGCGTGCAGAGCTGGGCTGATGGAGGGCGGAAGGGCGCAACTGGGGCGGACCGGGCAGTCCCGAGGGACTGATAGGACAGGGGGAGGGACCTGGGATCAACCGGTCCTGAGCGGCTCGGACGATGGAGCCGACACAGACGGGTGAGCAGGCACGGAGGGGCTCAAATCGTCGCACAGGACCATGTGAATGGTTGAGAAGGAGAGGGGTTCAGCGAGCCAACACCGGGTTAGAGCACGTCAGTCACCGCACCCGCTACTAGCTACTGATCCGACTATTAACGGGTCGTGTTAGTGGCACCCCCAGACACTGCACTGTAGGCCGGCAGCCTGAAAAAGCGCTAGAAATTCCCCCAAACTGACTGTCCGCAATATGAACAAAATAGGTATCATTTAATCCCAAATTGATCGAAGAATACGATTCCGATGCTAGTTTTGCCCTAAGGTCAAAAATTGAGGTCGTCAGTTGTCACCAAACACAAGACAATTTAGACTCTCTATAGGCCACCACATTTACCGATTTTAATGATGAACTTTAGTGGTAATTTATTAGTTGACCAATCGTCGTTTTGAACGAAATTTCCTGTCAGACTAGTTCAGGGCACTGTTGTTCACTGTGCCAACATCATTCTGACATATTGCATCGCTTTTCTGCAAGATAAGCTAGCTGTTTGCAAGCAGCTGCAAGACGTAATTTAAAATCATATCCAATTTTTTAATTAGACTTTTATAAAAACGTTATTTCGAGCGGCTAAAAATGAACATTTCATACTAGCCTCTGATTACTCATCTTTTGTTCCATATAGGTGCTTTGCTGCTTTTCCCTGCTACTTTTCGAGATATGCGCCAGTAAACCACATGATGTAGGGGCAATTGTCACCTCGCCGCTCTACTGAAGGCCCGGCGCTCTTTAAAACGCTGGAAGTTGTGAAAAACAAACGCTTATAATCTAAATGAAATATATGTCCCTGAGCTCAGAATTGATCAACGCACACAATGCTGTCAACATTTCTGGGCCAAACTAAAAAATTCAGTCATTATTAACCCCTAAACACAAGTCAGTGATAATCAACAACAACTTGCTCTTTAGTTAAGACTTTTTGAGAAACGTTATTTCGAGCCGTTAAAAATGGCCATGCCATACAAACCACCAATCATCTTTCTGTCATGCCCTACTCGCAATTTTTGCTAATGCCTGCTACTCTTCGAGGTCACGTGACCTCACCATTAAAAGTGAATGGGGAAATAAGGAAACTGTTGTTTTTGCGCATGGAATGATTTCAAACTATCTCAAGCACACGGAATCGTGATTTCGTGCACTCCTTGCAAGATCCGATGCTTTACTTTTGCATTTTTGGCCTTCCGTGACGTCATTTATGACGTCACACCGGTCATAGGAGTTTCTCGTCAATAACTCATGATCAAATTGAGCCAGCGACTCGGGAAAGCCACCAATGGACTCTGGAAGACCTCCCGAATCGAATGATATGCGATACGACCTCCTTCGATTAAGTTCGTGGCCTGATGGGCTCTGAACTGACCTTGACTCGAGTTCAATACCTTAAGTTGACCTCACCCGAACAAAAAGTATACCATTCGACGCGCCTGAGCCAGGCGAACACGATGGTGCCAAAATCGCTGCTCTGCGGCCATTTTTTTTGCGAAATTATTTGCCAAAAACCAAAACCTACCTTGGGCTTTTTGACTTCACTTCAGAGGTTACCGGTTGACCTGGGACCTTAAAATCGGGTATCAATCGTTCCGCCTTGAAACGGCGCACACGCTTGTTTTTTCCGCGAGGCTTTAGCTCCATTAGGGGCGAAACGGCAAAAAGGGGTCGTACCAACCATCCCCCCCTCGGCCGGCCGAGGGGGTGGGGGGTCCGACAATAGGTCCGGCGAGGGTTAAGCAGCCCCACTTCGTTTTTAGCATGTTTGCTTGTCACTGAGATCAACAACTCAATCACAAATAATTTCTAGCACTTTTCCGGACCCCCAGCCCAGTGTGCACTGCCTACTGACTACTGTCCCTGTCCGAACAGCACCGGGTCGTGTTAGTGACACCCCCAGACACCGCCTACTAACTGCGGGTCCGACCGGTACCGGGTCGTGTTAGTGGCACCACCCAGAGACTTGCCGCAGTACTCCGGGCGACAAGCAGTCCCCTCCCGGGTCATAGGAGTAACAGCTGTCCTCCTCCGGCCGACCGGAGGGAGAGACGGGAGCCGGTAGCGGCCGCCCGCCCCAGCACGGCCACCCGACGTACCGGCGTGGCACGGGAGACACACTCACGCTCTGTCCCCGAGCCGCGGCCACCAGCAGCCCGCCAGGGACCACTTCCAGCTGGGGCACCCGACACCGTCCGCGCTCTACGCACTACCATGCTCCCCGGACTAGCTCTACCGGCACCCCCCCCCCCGAGACCCCCCCCCCCAGCCGTGCTCCCCGTCGGAGCCGCGTCCCGCCAGACACCACCGACCTTCCCCTCTCCCGTCACACCAGACCACCTTAACCTCCCCCCCTCCCCCGTCAGAGCAGACCACCGACCTTGCTGCCGCCGAAGATACCGAAGATTCCACCGCGCTTGCCGAACTTTCTGGCCGACAGGGTGCCTTTGACGGTGTGCGGTTTGGGCGAGCTGGCCGGCGGCGGCGGCAGCTGGCCCAGCGGCGGCTCGGGCGGCCGTCCGCCGTCCGACAGGTCCTCGAACGGTATCGGCTCCGGCGGCTCGAACCCGGACTTGTACCGCTCGATCACCAGCTGAGAGTCCTGTACGCACGGGTCAGGTCAGGTCAGACTCGAACCCGGACTTGTACCGCTCGATCACCAGCTGAGAGTCCTGTACGCACGGGTCAGGTCAGGTCAGACTCGAACCCGGACTTGTACCGCTCGATCACCAGCTGAGAGTCCTGTACGCACGGGTCAGGTCAGGTCAGGTCAGACTCGAACCCGGACTTGTACCGCTCGATCACCAGCTGAGAGTCCTGTACACACGGGGCAGGTCAGGTCAGGTCAGGTCAGGTCAGACTCGAGCCCAGACTTGTACTGCTCGATCACCAGCTGAGAGTCCTGTGTACACGGGTCAGGTCAGGTCAGGTCAGACTCGAGCCCAGACTTGTACCGCTCGATCACCAGCTGAGAGTCCTGTACGCACGGGGCAGGTCAGGTCAATTGAATTTCTTGTAAGTATGCTACAGACCAGATTTCGATAAAAAGTTCGTACACCCTACGGGGAACATTAATTGGAAAGTCACACCCAAACCTAGACCCATCAGTCAGCACTAGCAGTCACGTTCCTCTCCACACTCCCCATTCCGAGAGGCTGCTCGTTAGTCGTGATCCGTCCACCCGCGGCTCCCCGTCCCGGCGCTGCTGGCCGGCCGCCCCCCCCCCGCACCTGTCGCCGCCCCGTGTCCCGGCGGCACGTGCCCCCCTCGCTCACCCGGTCGGGGTCGATCTCGTCGGCGGCGGCCACTATGCCGTCCAGACACGTGTGGACGATGGGGAACACGTGGCGCTCGATGTCCACGGCGCGTCGCATGTGCGCCTGCATACAGCGCGCGCGCCGCTCGTCCAGCGCCTGCAGTTCGCCGAACAGCGCCGGCATGGCGCTCGTGTAGTGCAGGTGCTGCCGGCCGAGCAACGGTCACAGTCAGTCTGAGGTGGGGGGACACTGAAACCGTCCTGGGACACTGCCCGCGGAGGACGGCCACAGTCAGTCCGATGTGGCAGGAACTGAGAACGTCCCAGGCTGAATATTGTGGGAGCCAGCAGGTCACAACAATGTGCCATCAAAGCTTCTTCTTAGATATCAAATAAAACGCTCAGCAACTAAGCACCTACTTACTACGCTTACCGTAATAGTTAATACATTCCCTATCAAATTAGCGAACGCTGCGATTGGGTTGGATAGCATAGCATGTGCCTGACCGCGGTCGGCCCGCTACAGACGGAGGCGGAGCAGGCCGGCGGTCCTACCACCGAGTGCCCGGCTCCGCGGCGGGCCGAGGCGCCGGACCGGGCGGGCCGGACGTGAGTCAGCTGCCCGGCCCGACCCGGGGCGGCCAGGCAGCGGCCGGCCCGCCGACCCGCTCGTGGGCGCCGACCGCACCACGCCGCACCGATAACGTACATAACACTGACCTACAGACGGGGAGGGGCGCCTCGGTGTGGCCCAGTGTGACTCTACTCTACATGTCCCTGCGGGGCCCCGGAGATCCCGCGTCACCTTAACGTTCCATCGAGGCCCCGCAGGTCCCTGTGTGTCGCTATGTGACCCCGCAGGTCCCTGTGTGACCCTGTGTGACCCCGTGTGTCGCTGTGTGACCTCGTGTGTCGCTGTGTGACCCTGTGTGACCCCGTGTGTCGCTGTGTGACCTCGTGTGTCGCTGTGTGACCCTGTGTGACCTCGTGTGTCGCTGTGTGACCTCGTGTGACCCCGTGTGACCCCGTGTGTCGCTGTGTGACCCCGTGTGTCGCTGTGTGACCTCGTGTGTCACTGTGTGACCCTGTGTGACCCAGTGTGTCGCTGTGTAACCCCGTGTGTCGCTGTGTGACCCAGTGTGTCGCTGTGTGACCCCACCGTCACGCACCTGCAGGTCGTTGGTGCGCTGTGTGACCCCGTGTGACCTCGTGTGTCGCTGTGTGACCCCACCGTCACGCACCTGCAGGTCGTTGGTGCGCTGCAGCTGGTTGGCGTACTCGTTCTTGCAGTCCTCACTCTGCTGACCCTTGATGCTAGCGGCCATTTTCTGTTTCTCGACCTCGGCCCGGCTCAGGTTGAGGTCAGCGTCGGCCCGCCGGAACGCTTCCTGCGCCTGCCGCCGACAGAGATACCGGGTCAGGGCGGGGCAGAACGACACTGACACCGGGTCAGGGCGGGGCAGGCCGACATTGACACCGGGTCAGGGCGGAGCAGACCGACACTGACACCAGGTCAGGGCGGGACACTGACACCGGGTCAGGGCGGGGCAGGCCGACCCTGACACCGGGTCAGGTCACTCAGGGCCGGCACTGACACCGGTCAGGGCGGGGCAGGCCGACACTGACACCGGGTCAGGGCCGACACTGACACCCCGGGTCACGGCGGGGCAGGCCGACACTGACACTGGGTCAGGGCAGACACTGACACCGGGTCAGGGCGGGGCAGGCCGACACTGACACCCCGGGTCAGGGCCGACACTGACACCGGGTCAGAGCGGGGCAGACCGACACTGACATCGGGTCAGGTCGACAGGCCGACAGAGGGTCAGGGCGAGACAGGCCGACAGAGGGTAGCCTACAGGCTCGGGAGCGGTCTCAGGGACAGCCTCAGGGTCAGGGTCAAAGGGGACGACAGACCAGGGGACCGGCACAGTGGCAAAGTCAAGGCAGTGGTGGGAGGCAGGTTCATAGGGCATAGATACAGATGGGGGCAGGGTTAGAGGGCAGAAATAGCGATTACAACAGGGGACAGGGAGCAGAATAGGGCCGGGTCAGGGGGCACGGGGAACGAAATCGGTCCATCGGGGACGAGTTCGAGCATTATTGAACCAACAATACCGGGCAAGGAAATGAGATGTGACACCGTTACGGCGGAGGGTTCGAGCCACCTCTGACTGGCGGAGGGCTCCAGCTGCCTCTGACTAGCGGAGGGTTCCAGCCACCTCTGACTAGCGGAGGGTTCCAGTCACCTCTGACTAGCGGATGGTTCGAGCAGCCTCTGACTAGCGGAGGGCTCCAGCCACCTCTGACTAGCGGCGGGTACGGGCAGCCCTCTGACTAGCGGAGGGTTTCAGCGGCCTCTAACAAGCAGCGGCATTCAGCAGTCTCCGACTGGCAGAGGAACTGAGCGGCCTGACCAGGACAGAGGAAAGTCCTGACTCGGAGCCATCGCCAGCCGGCGCCGCGCAGTTCTGCCGCAAAAAGGCAGGGCGCGCTCAGCCAGCGACCGCTCCAGATCGGGCCGGCGCTGTTTTTACGAGAGGCCGTGCACAAAACCGCCGGTCGTCGTCGGCGCGCCGCTACGAGTGACGTCAGTTCGACCCCGACTGACTGGCCGCGTCCTCCGACCGATCGCAGCACGGCCGGCCGACCGAGCACGGCAAAACAAAGCCGCGGACGGCGGGTGACGGGCAGCAGAGGAGAGCAGAGACGGGCTGCGGCGGGTTGGTGCCGAGTGCCGGCAGTCCGCACCGGAACGGCCTCCCCCCCACCCCCACCCGCCCCCGATCGGCCGCGCGGCGGCTGGCGGGCCCCGACGCCGCCAGCCCCATCATACGCCGCTAGATCAAGGCTATTTTTACCGGGCTGCACACTCAGTTGACTGGGAGGAAAATCTGCAATGCAGCAAACACAGGACCCAAGTGCAGCCGGAAAACGGCGTCTCGTGCCCCACCGAGGGGGGGGGAGGGGCGCCGGTCGGCGGCCGGCCGTACAGAGCAGGTCATCATTCAATTCTCATAAACACGGCGCAAAAACGGGAGCGCCGCCGCCGCGGCCGGTCGCTCGTGTGCCGTGCCGGGGCGGCGCGCACAGCACGGAGCGGATAGGCCGGCGGACCGGCGGCAGACCGGCCGGCGGGGAGGCGCGGCGCGGCCAGGAAAGTCGACCGCGCCGCGCCGGACCGGGCCGGGCCGGCGGCCTTGGCTGCAGCGTGGTCGGCCGCGTCATCGGCACACGGCAGCGGCCCGCCGACTCGGGCCGACCGGCCGGCGGGCTGCGACTGCACACTACGGGCACGCTGTGTCCCGTCCACACCGAGCCCGCCTACTGACCACACCGTACCCGGTCCATCGACTGTTCGGGATCACGGTCTGCGCTCTCACGCAGCAGCGTATGTCGGCCAGACATCATCGCTGCCACCGCGCCGGCCGCTGCCCCGTCAGAGGCGGGGCCCGGGCGGTAGCGGGGGCCGGGGGCCGGCCGGGGGCGGCGGCGGCCGAGAGGACAGGGGAGAGGAGGGAGGAGGGGAGAGGAGAGAGGAGGGGGAGGAGAGGAGGGGAGGGTGTCGCAGTGGCACGTGCTGGCGGCGCCGGCCGACTGTGGCGTCACGCCGCGCCGGATGTAGCGCCGATTAGCCGGACGGCCACAGACCGGGACGGGCACACAGAGCATTGCAATACTGGGCGCTGGGACTGGGGCACTGACCACCAGTCCGGGCCAGCCGACCGCGAGCCGGGGGGAGTCACCACCCCCGGGCGGTTCCGGGAGGGGGAGGGGGCACCCACCGGTGGTTAAGCAACGCCGCTCGGACGGCAGACCGGTCAGAGCAGATGGAAGGGGGCACAAAGGTCACTGGGGCGATAGATGAACAAAAAGCACACCAGCAAAGGGACTGGCGGATACGACAAAGAGTGGATCGGAACGCAGGGATACTGACGCACAGCCACTACCTCTGTGTTTGACGAAAATGTTGGATCGAAAGAGGGACATAGTGGCGCTAAGTTGGCCCAAGTCAATGACCCTGTAAGACATTAGCTATTGATTAGCGCAATAGGCCATCACCGAAATAACTCGACCGGCATCACATTCCTAGGCAATTTTATCAGAGACGAGACGGATGCAATTCCATCGGCCCGGCCGGCTGACACGGTCTATCGTGCATCAGTCGGCCGCTAGTCTCCCTCCCTGTCCCTCCCTCCCGTACCGTAACTACCTTTCCGCCTTTCCTCCTCCTCCCTCTCCCTCCCTCCCGTTCAGTATCCTCCCTCTTCCTCCCTCGCTCTCATTAAGTATCCTCCTCCTCCCTCCTATTCAGTACCTTTTCCGCCTCGCGGAAGGCCTTTTCGTAGTTCTTTTTGGACTTGTCGAGCTGGAGCCGCTGTGCCTGCAGCTGCACCACCAGCCGGTTACCCTCCTGCAGCATCTGGTGGGTCGGGAACAGAACATACAGTTACAGACCGGTCACAGGACAACACGGGACAACCGGCACAGCACAGACAGTCTCACAGCACAGAACATACAGTTAGACACCCGGTCACAGGACAACACGGGAGACACTCTCACAGTACAGAACATACAGTTAGATACCGCGTCTCAGGACAGCACGGGAGACACTCTCACAGTACAGAACATACAGTTAGACACCGCGTCACGGCACAGCACAGTACAGAACATACAGTTAGACACCCGCTCACAGGACAGCACGGGAGACACTCTCACAGTACAGAACATACAGTTAGATACCGCGTCTCAGGACAGCACGGGAGACACTCTCACAGTACAGAACATACAGTTAGATACCGCGTCTCAGGACAGCACGGGAGACACTCTCACAGTACAGAACATACATTAGAGTTTAGACACCCGCTCACAGGACAGCACGGGAGACACTCTCACAGTACAGAACACAGTTAGACACCGCACCACAGGACAGCACGGGAGACACTCTCACAGTACAGAACACAGTTAGACACCGCACCACAGGACAGCACAGTACAGAACATACAGTTAGACACCCGCTCACAGGACAGCACAGTACAGAACATACAGTTAGATACCCGCTCACAGGACAGCACAGTACAGAACACAGTTAGACACCGCACCACAGGACAGCACAGTACAGAACATACAGTTAGATACCCGCTCACAGGACAGCACAGTACAGAACATACAGTTAGATACCCGCTCACAGGACAGCACAGTACAGAACATACAGTTAGATACCCGCTCACAGGACAGCACAGTACAGAACATACAGTTAGACACCGCACCACAGGACAGCACAGTACAGAACACAGTTAGACACCGCGTCTCAGGACAGCACGGGAGACACTCTCACAGTACAGAACATACAGTTAGATACCGCGTCTCAGGACAGCACAGTACAGAACACAGTTAGACACCGCACCACAGGACAGCACGGGAGACACTCTCACAGTACAGAACACAGTTAGACACCGCGTCTCAGGACAGCACGGGAGACACTCTCACAGTACAGAACATACAGTTAGATACCGCGTCTCAGGACAGCACAGTACAGAACACAGTTAGACACCGCACCACAGGACAGCACGGGAGACACTCTCACAGCACAGAACACAGTTAGACACCGCGTCTCAGGACAGCACGGGAGACACTCTCACAGTACAGAACATACAGTTAGATACCGCGTCTCAGGACAGCACGGGAGACACTCTCACAGCACAGAACACAGTTAGACACCGCACCACAGGACAGCACAGTACAGAACATACAGTTAGACACCCGCGTCACAGGACAGCACAGTACAGAACACAGTTAGACACCGCACCACAGGACAGCACAGTACAGAACATACAGTTAGACACCGCACCACAGGACAGCACAGTACAGAACACAGTTAGACACCCGCGTCACAGGACAGCACAGTACAGAACACAGTTAGACACCGCACCACAGGACAGCACAGTACAGAACATACAGTTAGACACCGCACCACAGGACAGCACAGTACAGAACATACAGTTAGACACCGCACCACAGGACAGCACAGTACAGAACATACAGTTAGACACCGCACCACAGGACAGCACAGTACAGAACATACAGTTAGACACCGCACCACAGGACAGCACAGTACAGAACATACAGTTAGACACCGCACCACAGGACAGCACAGTACAGAACATACAGTTAGACACCGCACCACAGGACAGCACAGTACAGAACATACAGTTAGACACCGCACCACAGGACAGCACAGTACAGAACATACAGTTAGACACCGCACCACAGGACAGCACAGTACAGAACATACAGTTAGACACCGCACCACAGGACAGCACAGTACAGAACATACAGTTAGACACCGCACCACAGGACAGCACAGTACAGAACATACAGTTAGACACCGCACCACAGGACAGCACAGTACAGAACATACAGTTAGACACCGCACCACAGGACAGCACAGTACAGAACATACAGTTAGACACCGCACCACAGGACAGCACAGTACAGAACATACAGTTAGACACCGCACCACAGGACAGCACAGTACAGAACATACAGTTAGACACCGCACCACAGGACAGCACAGTACAGAACATACAGTTAGACACCGCACCACAGGACAGCACAGTACAGAACATACAGTTAGACACCGCACCACAGGACAGCACAGTACAGAACATACAGTTAGACACCGCACCACAGGACAGCACAGTACAGAACATACAGTTAGACACCGCACCACAGGACAGCACAGTACAGAACATACAGTTAGACACCGCACCACAGGACAGCACAGTACAGAACATACAGTTAGACACCGCACCACAGGACAGCACAGTACAGAACATACAGTTAGATACCGCGTCTCAGGACAGCACAGTACAGAACATACAGTTAGACACCGCACCACAGGACAGCACGGGAGACACTCTCACAGTACAGAACATACAGTTAGACACCCGCTCACAGGACAGCACGGGAGACACTCTCACAGTACAGAACATACAGTTAGACACCGCACCACAGGACAGCACGGGAGACACTCTCACAGTACAGAACATACAGTTAGATACCGCGTCTCAGGACAGCACAGTACAGAACATACAGTTAGACACCGCACCACAGGACAGCACGGGAGACACTCTCACAGTACAGAACATACAGTTAGACACCCGCTCACAGGACAGCACGGGAGACACTCTCACAGTACAGAACATACAGTTAGACACCGCACCACAGGACAGCACGGGAGACACTCTCACAGTACAGAACATACAGTTAGATACCGCACCACAGGACAGCACAGTACAGAACACAGTTAGACACCCGCTCACAGGACAGCACGGGAGACACTCTCACAGTACAGAACACAGTTAGACACCGCACCACAGGACAGCACGGGAGACACTCTCACAGTACAGAACACAGTTAGACACCGCACCACAGGACAGCACAGTACAGAACACAGTTAGATACCGCACCACAGGACAGCACGGGAGACACTCTCACAGTACAGAACACAGTTAGACACCGCACCACAGGACAGCACGGGAGACACTCTCACAGTACAGAACACAGTTAGACACCGCACCACAGGACAGCACAGTACAGAACACAGTTAGATACCGCACCACAGGACAGCACGGGAGACACTCTCACAGTACAGAACACAGTTAGACACCGCACCACAGGACAGCACGGGAGACACTCTCACAGTACAGAACACAGTTAGACACCGCACCACAGGACAGCACAGTACAGAACACAGTTAGATACCGCACCACAGGACAGCACGGGAGACACTCTCACAGTACAGAACACAGTTAGACACCGCACCACAGGACAGCACGGGAGACACTCTCACAGTACAGAACACAGTTAGACACCGCACCACAGGACAGCACGGGAGACACTCTCACAGTACAGAACACAGTTAGACACCGCACCACAGGACAGCACAGTACAGAACATACAGTTAGACACCGCACCACAGGACAGCACAGTACAGAACACAGTTAGACACCGCACCACAGGACAGCACAGTACAGAACATACAGTTAGACACCGCACCACAGGACAGCACGGGAGACACTCTCACAGTACAGAACACAGTTAGACACCGCACCACAGGACAGCACAGTACAGAACACAGTTAGATACCGCACCACAGGACAGCACGGGAGACACTCTCACAGTACAGAACACAGTTAGACACCGCACCACAGGACAGCACGGGAGACACTCTCACAGTACAGAACACAGTTAGACACCGCACCACAGGACAGCACAGTACAGAACACAGTTAGATACCGCACCACAGGACAGCACGGGAGACACTCTCACAGTACAGAACACAGTTAGACACCGCACCACAGGACAGCACGGGAGACACTCTCACAGTACAGAACACAGTTAGACACCGCACCACAGGACAGCACAGTACAGAACACAGTTAGATACCGCACCACAGGACAGCACGGGAGACACTCTCACAGTACAGAACACAGTTAGACACCGCACCACAGGACAGCACGGGAGACACTCTCACAGTACAGAACACAGTTAGACACCGCACCACAGGACAGCACGGGAGACACTCTCACAGTACAGAACACAGTTAGACACCGCACCACAGGACAGCACAGTACAGAACACAGTTAGACACCGCACCACAGGACAGCACGGGAGACACTCTCACAGTACAGAACACAGTTAGACACCGCACCACAGGACAGCACGGGAGACACTCTCACAGTACAGAACACAGTTAGACACCGCACCACAGGACAGCACGGGAGACACTCTCACAGTACAGAACACAGTTAGACACCGCACCACAGGACAGCACAGTACAGAACATACAGTTAGACACCGCACCACAGGACAGCACAGTACAGAACACAGTTAGACACCGCACCACAGGACAGCACAGTACAGAACATACAGTTAGACACCGCACCACAGGACAGCACGGGAGACACTCTCACAGTACAGAACACAGTTAGACACCGCACCACAGGACAGCACAGTACAGAACACAGTTAGATACCGCACCACAGGACAGCACGGGAGACACTCTCACAGTACAGAACACAGTTAGACACCGCACCACAGGACAGCACGGGAGACACTCTCACAGTACAGAACACAGTTAGACACCGCACCACAGGACAGCACAGTACAGAACACAGTTAGATACCGCACCACAGGACAGCACGGGAGACACTCTCACAGTACAGAACACAGTTAGACACCGCACCACAGGACAGCACGGGAGACACTCTCACAGTACAGAACACAGTTAGACACCGCACCACAGGACAGCACAGTACAGAACACAGTTAGATACCGCACCACAGGACAGCACGGGAGACACTCTCACAGTACAGAACACAGTTAGACACCGCACCACAGGACAGCACGGGAGACACT